GGACTTTAAACAAAAGGGTTATTTGCTTTTGTTCACACAAAGTACAGATTTTTAATCACTTTAGGAAAAAAACAAATTAAGTTTCATTTAAGCAAGCTGACCTCTCTGCTGTTAAAACACCATGAAATCTGTTAAAACATAAAGAACACTTGTTAAAGCATTATAAACTTTTGAGGGGACTCTACATTAAACGTGGCCTTTAAGAAAAACATTACTTTCAATGCACTAAAAAAATGCATTAGAAAGACACAGGGTTTTTCAATTAACTTCATGGTTTTGCACTTTATTCTGATGTGTAATGCCTAACACGGCTAACTTTTTTTTTCTTTTTAATTTTATAACTAATGGCATTTCAATAGTAGCAATTGCATTTTCAAGCCAACTTACTTCCCCTTGGAGGAGAACATTGCCAGAAAATATCCCATTTAGGAGGTCCTTTTTAGACTGCCACATATCAAATGATTAACAGGAAGAGAAAAAAATAATTTAGATTATTCCACAAATAGAATAAGACTTTCCACCAGCTGTCAATAAATTTTAAACAACTTTTTAAACACCATTCGTTATCAGACACAAGGGTATAATTTCATTACCAAACTTCAGAAAGTCACCTTGCCTGCTCATGCATACAAACCAAGGATATCTGACTGGACAAATGGAACCAATGCTATAAATACGTGATTTCTCAAGAACTGATTGTATTTTGATATTGACAGTATCTCTCATAAGATTAAAGGCTAATTGTCTAATTATGAAATAAACTTTCAACCCAACTATGACTGTTTGCCAGCTCTAATGTGGACAACTTACAGAGCAACATGGACAACTTACGGAGCATTTGTGTTACCAGTGACTTCATTACCACTGAGCTTTCCCAGATAAAACAGAGCTTCTTGTTTTTCACCCTGTTTCAGAGTGATTTCATTGCTCTGCAGTACTATGTCAAGGCTTCAATATGAACCTTATTGTACCAGGTTTGCAAACATGGTTTACACTCAGGGAAAGGAATGCATTTTGGAATGGATATCATGGAAAACTAATGCAACCTTCTGAAACAGGTAACTGCAGCAGCGATACCGAAAGCTCCTCAGAAAGAGAGGAAGGGAAGGCAGAGCACTTCCCCCTCCTCCGCCTGTTTAGAGGTGACAGAGGAACCGGGAGAAGGGAAAGAAACGGCACTCCCAGAAGGCTGGAGGCCGGCAGGGAGGTGAGCTTGGTGAACCGGTGCGCACGGAGCACCAAACAAGCCCTTCCCTCACGGCGCGGCCTCCGGCGCA